ATATTCCTTTTTAGATATTGTAGTAATTATATATATATATATACATAGTTTTTAATAATAGTGATATTTCCAAAATATATGTTTTATTTTTAGTTTAACTGCAACATCTGTTAAAATCTTATCGAAAAACTTAACATGCATCGCGATCATTTGAATTATTAACATATCAAATTTGCTGTATATTTCAAAGCAAAAGTAGCTTTCTCCTTCATTTTGCTTCTGTAACTCTGATTATTTTTTATCGATTCATCAGTTTCTCATTTTATCCATTTTATTCGAGTCTAAGAGAAAATCAGTCTAGTTAAATTATAAGAGATTGTATGTGTTTATAAAGATATTTTCCTTTTTTTAGTCTTTACTTTTTTGAAGTAAAATATCTTTTTCATTCACTCACGTATATAATTTTTTTTAATTTATTCTTTTTTCTTCTAGATATTTTAGTGGTTATATTTTCTTATTCTTTTTTTAACAATAATGATATTTTCTAAATTTATATTTTATTTTTGTTTTAATCATGATACATGTCAAAATCTTATCGATTAAATCACCACAGGTCACTATCATGTGAATTACTAACTTTGACGTATAAAGATTTGAGTAATAATTTTCTTTTTCATTTTTGTTTAGACTTTTTTATTTTTAAATTCCTTTTATTCATTGACGTATATAAATTTTAAAAAAAATTATTTCTTTTTCTTTTAGATATTGTAGTGGTTATATTTTTTTATTATAATAATGATATTTCCTAAATTTATATTTTATTTTTGTTTAATCACGACACGTGTTAAAATCCTTCGAAAAACTTGACATATGTCGTTATCATAAGTATTACTAATTTTAACGTGTCCAACTTTATATAATAAGATTCTGAAAATGCCACTTTAAAACGTTTTTCTCACATATCTTTCATATTGTTTTCTATTTACCTCTTAGAAAAGAAGTATAGGAAGTAAGATTTTTCTACACACAAAAAAGAAAAGGGGGAATTCCTCATTATAACCTAAAAGTTGATTTTTTCTCAATATGTAGACCCCTTATTGAATGTTTGGCAAAATTAACCCAAAGGGATAGTGAAATTACAGCTCAGTCCTTTATGACTAAACAAAAAACGTCTGCCACAGTTACGATTTTATCCTTCGAGAAGTCTACGTAAGAAGTCTACAATCGTTGTAGACTTCAAAAGAAGTCTACTACATAATTAGTTTTTTAAAAATTAATTAGAAAATATAAAATAAATAAATTTCTAAAAAATTGGTAAACATAAGTAAGACATATATATTTGACATGTATAGAATACAAAATTTCATACAAATGAATCAACTTAAATGCAGAAAGAAAATTAACTAGAAAACATACAACCCCTTAGAAGTCTACTAAAGAAGTCTACTACAGAAAACATATGTATGCAGTAGCCTTCTCGGGTAGACTTCTCCAGTAGACTTAAAAAAAACATAGCGGGAAATCAAAATTATGTAACAAATTGGGCGGGAATCGGAACAAATTAGGCGGGAATTGAAATCGAAAAAATATACTGAAGTAGACTTTTCGAGTAGACTTTTCGAGTAGACTTCTCCAGTAGACTTCTTAAGAAGTCTACTTAACCGAAAATTTTCCTACATATATAAGGAGATTAACCTAATTGGGTTAAAAATAAAGTTTTTCTCTCCCTTTAAAAAGCGCCTCTCTCTCCTCTACCTCCTCCCTGGCCATGAATCTCTTATCCTTCCTCTCTTGCCATCAAACCCATCTCTATCCTCCATCCTCTCTATCTCAATTATGGTGATGGTAAGCAAATCTGAGGTTTTGTGTTTCTTTTGTTGTTTGTTTTGTGTTCATAATGTAAATCTGGGTTTATTATTACATATTTGAGCTTCTTGTTATAGATCTGAGTTTATTCTTGCAAATATGCGCTTCTTATGGTATAAATTTTGTAGAATTTGTTGCAGATCTGATTTTTTTGTTTGTAGATCTGAATTTTTAGTTGTTGCAGATCTGATTTTGTTTATTTTGTTGCAGATCTGAATTTTGTTTATTTTGTTGCAGATCTATAATTTTTTTTGTTGCATAGCTGATTTTTTTTTTCCCTATTGCTGCATATATGATGTTTGTAAATATAGCATATTCTGTTGAAATATGAATTTTAACATTTTTTTTTCTTATTGTGCAGACCTGAGCTTATTTATTTCTCTTTTTTTTTGTTGTAAGCAGACTTCAGCTGAAGATTTCACGAGTAGACTTCTCGAGCAGACTTCAGTCACATACATCTATTTCAGACATTTTGTTTTTATATGCTAATTTTAAGATTTATAATTAGTGATCCTTAAATGTTTGTTTGATTAGAAGGTCTACTTTATATGTAAAGTTGGATTGCAATTAATGTTATTTTTATATATTCTTAAATTATGTGTGTTTTATCATATTCAGATTTCATATGCAGACTTCTTTGTCAGACTTAGTCATCACCATCTTTGAACCTCTAATAACACAAGAAAATTAATTCAATTTAACTATACAAAAACATGTAAAAATCATAACAAAAAAAAAACATGTAAAACTACTTAGAAATACCACAACTAGTCTTTTTTCACACATTCTCAATAAACAGTGGGTATGTGAACCATTCTCTGTAAGAAAACAAAATTCAAACCACATTAGAAATCATTGTCGAAAAAGTAGACTGCAAACGTAGTCTACTATGTAGACTTCAAATGAAGTCTGCGGACTATTAAGCTAAATACCAAATAAAAGAAGAAAATTAGTTAAAGCTAAACTGTAACAAAAAAAAATTTAAAACTCATACATAAGCAAGAACAATAAATATCACACACTTAAGAGTCAAATAATAAATTTTATTTGTTACAAATATCTGATCAATTAAATTTATAAAAAATTAATGTCCTAGACTGCAAACGAAGTCTACTATGTAGACTTCAAGTGAAGTCTACGGACTAATAAGCTAAATACCAATTAGAACAAAAAAATTAATTAAAGCTAAACAATAACAAATAAACATGTCAAACTCCTACATAAGCAAGAACAATAAATAATACACACTTAAGAGTCAAAGAATAAATTTTATTTGTTACAAATATCTGATCAATTAATTTAATAAAAAAATTAATGTCGCAGACTGCAAATAAAGTCTACGGACTAATAAGCTAAATACCAAATAAAACAAAAAACTTGATTTCACCAAATATATATATAATATAAACATGTAAAACTGGTACAAATGTAAGTACACTTACTAAAACAATCGTAAGACCAAAAAAATCTTAATAATTCGTTGTAAATTTGATAAAAACACGTTTTTAAAAAAAAAAGTGAAATAGTAGACTAACAACGAAGATTACAAAATTAGACTTGCAATGAAGTCTACAAATGTAGACTTCGTATGAAGTCTCTATTTTAGGTTACTTTTGCAATTGCCAAAAGATGAGTAGACTTCTTTAAAGAAGTCTACTCACTCTGAGAAGTTTACTCGAGAAGTCTACATTTAAAATGGTTAGTTTTGCAATTGACCAAACTTTGACTTTTTCGTAAGAAATCTACTTGCAAAAGTAGACTTCTTCGGAGAAGTCTACTTTTAAAGTAGACTTCTTAGAGGTTAGTTTTGCAATTGACCAATGTTGACTTTTCAATGTAGACTTCATTTGAAGTCTACTTCAAAAGTAGACTTCAAACGAAGTCTACTTGGGTTAGTTTTGGGGTTGACCAAATATTGAATTTATTTTTGAGTAGACTTTTTTTGAAGTCTACTCAAAAAATAGACTTCAAACGAAGTCTACTCGGAAAAGTAAACTTCAAGCGAAGTCTACTCGAAAAAGTCAACATTGGTCAATTGCAAAACTAACCTCTAAGAAGTCTAAGTTCAAAGTAGACTTCTCCGAAGAAGTCTACTTTTGCGAGTAGACTTCTTACGAAAAAGTCAAAGGTTGGTCAATTGCAAAACTAACCCCTTTTTACGTAGACTTTTTTTGAAGTTTACACTTTTTTTTTTTGTTGTCAAAGGAAATGGCGCAGAATTCAACTGAAGTCTACTGTCATAAATTGGTACACCCAGTCAATTGCAAAACTAACCTGTGTGTTGACCAGCATACTTTTTTTGAAGTCTACTACCGAAAGTAGACTTCTTATGAAGTCTACTTTCGCGGCACAAATCTGAAAACTCACGGAAATTGACTGAAAAATCACCTATCAATAGTATTTAACTTATTCAACCACCGATTTCTTTGATTCCAGCCACCACCAAACAAGCCCAAATGATTTGCCAGACCAAATCACCAAATATGACAATATATTAGAACATCAAGTTTCAAAAATTTAGATTAGAGAGTTTTTGTAATGAAAATGGTGAAAAAATGTAAGAGTAGAAGGTTAAGAGAAGAGAAAATGAGGTTACAAAGCTAAAAAATGGGTCTTTGAAGCAATAAAAGCTTTAAATTGGTTGAAAATGATGGTTAAATGAATTGATGGTGATGGCATTTTCGTGAATAAGTGAGGAAGATGAGGATTGTTTGGTAAAATAGATTTCCGAAATAATAATAAAAAACAATAATCTAATGGCATTTTCGTAAATAAATAGAACTGATAAGGATATAAGTGAGATAAAGTGGTTAGTTTCAAAAGTGGTAAAATGAAAGGTTAGTTTAACAATTGACTTGAATTTATGGGTCATTTTTGCAAGATTCCCAAAAGAAAAAGCTTTGATCTTTCCTCTCTCTATCTCTAACTCTAACTCCTAGTCTTTCAGTTGTTTAATTACTAGTTATAATAGCTAAAAGAATAAAAGCTGTTTAATTAGTGGAGGCTTAAAAGTTTTAAAAATGACTTGAATATTTTTTGTATCCATAATATCTTCAAATATTGTTTTTTAGGTTTTCAAACTTTTATATAGCCGTTAAGGGTTTATCTCTTCAAAAAAAAAAAAAACTTAAATATCTAAAATTAATTAACATTTAGTACCCTCTTTGCAGTTATGTTTATTACACCCACAGTAAAATTTACTTCTGGATCCATCAACACATATATGTATTTGTTTAGTGAGTGAATTCATCTATAAATTGAGCTCTATGTCTCTCATAATTTCTTACATCACAAAACATTTCCTTCTTATAATTAAGAATTGCTTCAACTAATATATGCCAATGAAGAGTCTCTCATTTCTTGCAACTCTATCTCTTTTGGCTTTAACACTTCAATTAGCTTTTGCTGCTGATCCAAGCCCCGTTCAAGACTTCTGCGTCGGCGTAAACACCCCAGCCAATGGTGGTATGTACATGATGATTCCCTTATCGGTTTTACACTCATCTTTCGTTGGTTTCTCATTTTTCATACTTTTTTTTATTATTTGGTTATTATGTTCAGTGTTTGTGAACGGAAAGTTTTGCAAAGATCCAAAGCTCGCCACAGTAGAAGACTTCTTTTTCACAGGGCTTGACAGGCAGAGAGTCGCAACCAATGCGCTTGGAACAAGTGTGACCCCCGTTTTCGCTGGTAACCTTCCGGGGTTAAACACCCAAGGAATCGCATTTGCTCGTGTAGATTATGCAATAAACGGCCTAATCCCTCCTCACACCCATCCACGTGCCAGCGAGTTCTTGATTGTCCAAGAAGGAACACTCTTGGCCGGTTTTGTCTCGTCAGACCAAGACGGAAACCGTCTTTTCTCCAAAACGCTCAACAAGGGTGATCTCATTGTGTTTCCAGTTGGACTCATCCATTTCCATATCAATGTGGGACGTGTTCCAGCAGTTGCATTCACTGCTTTTAACAGCCAAAACCCAGGTCTTATCACTATTGCTAACACCGTGTTTGGCTCTAACCCGCCGATAAACCCTAACGTTCTTGCTAAGGCATTTCAGTTGAACCCTAGGCTTGTCATGGATCTACAGAACAGATTCTAACCATATAACAAAAACTATATATTGAGCATCTAATTCCTTTCTTTCTTCTTTTTTTTTAATTAACTTTGTTTGAATAAGGATTATGTATTATCCAACCGTACATCAATAAGACAATAACGTGGTTGGTCGTTGCGTCAGCGTCATTACCCTTGAACGCCGTTCTTAATGAATTAATATTTTATTTTCTGGTGTCAACAAGTTTAATTAATGCTTACAATGTCGCTATTGAGTTTTTTTCCGACGAAATTATATTTCATATTTACTTTAGAAGATACAAGCATTGGATTAACCAAGATGGTAAATAGATACAACCAACGAAGAAAGCATAAGGTTAAAGAGAGAGAGATATATATATGTATGTATTAGAACATTAAAATTACGACTGCTATGAAGGAATGGAATCTCTTGAGATTTGGTACACCATGAAATGATACAAAAAATATATCGTATTTTTCGCAACAACAACAATTTTTTACAAATTAGGTTTTCAATCTAAAATTAATGGGCAATGAGTAAATTGACCTATGCTCTTTATATATTAGTTATGATCACTTTCAATTTCCAATGTGGGATATCATCTCTAATACGCCATTTCAAGATGATGGCTACTTTGACCATTGATCTTGGTAATATTTGGGCAAGAATCGACGAACCATCTTTGGGTCATATATCGATTATGAATCGAGACTCTGATGTCATGTTAAGTTATATGGGCTTCTAATCCAAAACCAATTGACAATAAGTAAACTGGTCCGCTCCTTATATATTAGTTAGGTCCATTTCCAACTTTCGATGTAAAATATTATCCATAATAGCTATTAATGCAACATACCAAAATTTAGTCGTAAGACTTTATAGAAAAGTTTTCTTAAAATTATAATCACAAAGGTTTTAGTTGTTTTAATTTCTATAAAGTTTGTTGTTATTTAAAATAAAAATCAGAATAATTGTACAGACTGGCTAGTTAATTAAAGAGAAATGTTATCATTTAGGGTTTATTGGTTTAAGTTCTTAAGGAAAAATAGTTAAAAAAAAAATTATTTGGAGCTTTGGAGCCATTTCTCTAGCTAATAGTTGAAAATATCAGTAGATATGGGCCTCCTTTAAAGAATAAAATTTATTTCAATTTCTCTATTTTATAGCTTAGGGTTTTTTTCTTTCTTAAATGGTTTATTATTTAAAATAAATAAATGGCACGCTAATTTTGTTTGGCATGGAACCTCAAAATTATTAGGCATGGCTCTAACTTTGATAAATACTAAACAGCTTTAATATCTTTCATAGTTATCATCTCTAGCTTCTTAGACCATCTCCAATGTATTTTTCCATTTTCTACTCCAGAATAGAGTAATTCTAAAATGGAGTTGTGTTTTGCTCCAATGTATATCTCTATTTTTTACTCTAAAGAAGGAATATTCTAAATAGATTCTTATTCTATTTTATTATTAATATATTTTAGTTTTAAAATTTACAAATAAATCCTACTTATTTTATTGTTTACAATTTTTTTTCAAAAATTATAAATTAAATATTTATTAAATAATGAAAATTACATAATATCATAAAAAGCATATGCAAGTTTATTAAGCATTACTATTACTGAAATTTTTATCATTAATGTTTTAAATATTTTTTGTCTTAAGTTTATTTATATTATTTATCTTAATTTCAGCACTTATTATGTATTTTTAAGTTTATTGTATTTTGCAATCTTTTTCTAAGAATAATTGTAGTGTTTAAATATTCATAATTATCAGTTTTATAATATTTATAAATATTAAAAAGTATAAAATATAATTATTTTAAATCTAAATGATTAATTTGCAAATAAAAAAGTTCAATTCCAAAATGGAGTAGAGTTTAGATCTACTCCAAAATATGGAGTAGAATTTAGGTTTACTCCATTTTAGAATTAAAAATGGAGTAGGGTTGGAAATGATTTTATTTCAAAATAGCATTTGAAATTGAAAATGGAGTAGGGTTGAAAATGCTATTAAAAAAGAATAAGCTAATCAATGTATCTAAAGTTGTTGAGTCAAATGAGACATAGACATTGCGAAAAAAACAATTTTTTTAATTATTTTTTAACCGTTTTGCAAAAAAAAAACAAAAACGTAGCAAACTTCAATAACATTGTTTTTGTTTAAATTTACTCGACAAATCAAAATGACTGACTTGGCAGCATCATTTCAGTGATTTGGGAGCTTTGGGATTTGCGTTTTTTTCCTACCTCGGAACCACGGATCACCGCCATGAAGGAAAAGTCAACTCAACCTTCTCAAAGCGAAAGAAAGACAGACCATATCACCATACGGTCATGGACCTGGCCTGGTATAACAAAGGTAAGTCCATGACTCATCATTCCAATGCCTTTATGTCCCAAAGAGTTTTAGAGACTTACCTAAAATTATACCAAACTGAATTTAGATAACTTATGTTTTAACGAAGATGTAAATTACATCTTGGAGTTATTTATGCTCACAGTCATTTTTTGAGTTATCAAATACAAAATGAAGCACTTTCTGTAACTAATGCATTTTTTCATCTTTTTGTAACTATCATTTAGTAAAAATTTGTATCTATCGAATTGTGTCCATCAGATCGTGTTCATGTGTTGATGTCCATCTATTGTAACTATCATTTAGTGTCTATATTATAATTATCATTTAGTAACAATATGTATTCATCGAGTTGTATCTATCGAGCGGTATCCATCAGATTCTGTCCATCGAGTTATGTCCGACGAGAATGGTATTTTGGGGGATTCAAATTCAAGTGAAATAGATGAAAAAATAATAATGAGAAAGTGTTTCAGTTACAAAAAGTATATCTTTTTGTAATTGATAATTCAAAAAGTGCATCTGAACGTAAATAACTCTTACATCTTGTATATCACAACATTTAAGATTTTTAAAATAAAGATCAGAAATAGAGAAAATATGAATACAATTAATATAATTAAGCTGATCATGGTTATGTACATATATGACCAGAAAAAATCTTTAATGAGAAATGTATGGGTCATTATATAGAGCAAAAAAAACATAATTATCTTCTCAATCTTGTCTTTCCAAATGTTTCTTCTATATTATCTGTACATTTATATTATTCTCTAGGATCGTTTTTTTTTAAGTTAGTAAGGTGAAATCTTAAGATGGAAGCCTTTAGGTGCAAAAACTCTTGGAAACACCATTATTTCCTCTCCTCCTATTTCCTCCCATCTGCCATTATAATGAATTCATGAACATCAACACAAACTGCTCATATCAAATCACAATAACTGCAAAAATAAAATGATTAGATCTTTGATAAAGAAAAGCTGACCTGTATTTGGTTACAAAGTAATGGAGGAAGCTCGAGATCTCAACAATCCCTAGTTCCTTGCCAGGGCAAAGCCTTGTCCCACCTCCAAACACAAAGCATGAGTTTTGTGACTCCAAACTCTTCTCCTTCATTCACAAATATTATAAAACATGTTTTTATAAATCATACATTTTCAGGAAAACAGAGAGAAAGCAGAAAATCACACTAGTACGTACCCCCATTTGTTTCAGATTAACAGTAGTTTTAGAAATTCATACAAATTAAAAAAACATTAAATTTATTAGTACAAGATTTTTTTAAAAATATTTTATAATACTAGTACCTCTCCAATCAGTAAGTTGGAGAAACAAAGAAATATAAAAATAGAAAAACGACATTTAGTATGAAAATGCTTACCATCCATCTCCATGGATTAAAGATCATTGGGTCCTTGTAAAGATTTGTGTCGTAATTAATTTCCCTCGTGTATACGTAAATTCTCCATCCTTTTGGGATTACATAACCTACAATTATTAAAGATCATGATCAGAATTTGTGAAGAATATTAAAAAACTAGATTTAGTATTATTTTCTAACAAAAAGAAGAGTATTAAAGTCATTTAAAAAACATATAATAAAGGTTTATATTCTGTCAAAATTATTGGAAATTAAAAACCATGGAGGGCTCACACAAAGGAGCATACTTTCATAGCTGGATTTGGTTGGTATTCATAATACACTCTAAATCATTGATCTACACTAGGTCCACCACATGCTCACATTATTTCTCTCTCTTTTTATATTAATTTAGAATTAGAAATTTATTATAATCCCAACAAAAAGAAAACTGAAATAAGGAATGTATACACGTACCGTTGATTTCCAAGTCACGAGTAGTTTTTCTAAGGACCCCATTAACGATCGTTGCCAATCTTGATGTCTCAAAAATCACCTGTAAATACATTATCAGTTACTAATTAATGACTAATGATTAGAAAGTGTAAGAAACATTAATGTTAATTACTCACCGCTCGAGTGAACTTCATTGACTTCACATCCTCCAGATCGAGTGGTTCGTCTGATCGTTTTCTTTCCCTTATAGCCAAATGCTCTCTCTGCATTATCAAAACAAGCCGAAATCAAATCACCAACCCGAATTTAACCGGAAGATTTAAAACCGGTTTAATTCTTTCTTAGGGACATACTCTGAGTTCTTGAAGAGCCTTTGGGTGATCATGTAGGTACTTAAGAGCCATCATTGAGGTCGTAGAGACAGTCTCGTAACCCGAGTACAAGATCGTCACGACTTGGTCTCTTATCTCTTCATCGGTTAACGGATATCGGTTATCTTCCTTCTTCATCAAGTAACCCAACATATCTGTGAACGTTTCTCCAGAGTCTCTACGTTCTTGCATCAGCTCTCTCAGCAACCTATCAATGTTCCTCCTTGCCTAAGAAACAACCGATAAAAGTTCAGTTTATTTTATATTTTTCATTTCAACTTTCTTTCTAACGTGGGAACTGAGTATTTTACTTGGATTCCGCAACGATAATTTGTGCCGGGAAGGTCGATCGGGACCGATAGAGTTCCAACAACAAGCTTGAAGAACGCATTTTTGAATTCCTCGACGAGTGGTTTTCTTAAATTTCCAGCGATTTGTGTCAAAGAAGAATAAAATGCCATCTGTACGAAACCCACCGAAACAAAAACAAACAAGAATGACGTACACAAAATATTCATAATATTTTAATAAAAATCAGATATTAAATAATATTGTAGGATTTTAAAGACAAATATTCTCATTTATTTAATATTATGCCCATCCTGACAAGTCACATCCATAGAACTAAGCTTGCCCCAGATTTTAAGTTGATAATTTAGTTAATATTTTTTGTTGTATAAGTTGAAATTTCTCCTGACCAAAACAATATAATAATTAAGCATGAAATATTTTTCTATACTATAAATTTTTAAAAAGTTTACCCATATTTTATAAAATAGAAATACTTTAATAATTTTATTAGTTTTTTAACAAGTGTGCATCTTTAGAGTTGTTCTTCTGTTTTCATTAGTCTCTCGCAAATACAAAAGCAAGATTTACTTTAAAATAGAGAAAATAACATTTATTTCATGGAACGAGCATATTAATTCCAAAATAGCAGTCATAAGAGTTTTTTTATTTTTAACTCATAAAAGTTTTGAAGTAAAACATTAATGTTAATTACTCACTGCTTGATTCTTTTTTTTCTCTTCCAAGAATGTAAATTGCATAAATTATCTGGAATATTTTAAACATTAGATCTTCACGTAAAGGTATAGAGAGACTTAAGAAACATAAATAAAAGTAAAAACAGAGAGAGATAGAGAGAACATACATGTTTGGTCTTATCCTGGATATCAATAATCTCAAGCTCATTCCACTGACCAAGATAGCTTCTCATGAAGTGATCGACTTTGGGCAAGATGTGATCCCTCATCATCGTGGAGCTAATGAGTGAAAGAAGTGAGCCTCTCATAAGGCGATGGCTCGAACCGTGAACCGCAGCCATGTTACAAGTCCCAAGAATGTCAAGCATCGATTGTGGATAGCCAGGAACCAAACCTTTGGACTCGTTCTTTAGAATGTATCTGTTGATCTCTGAGTCCATCGAGACTAACGTTGGACAACCAAGAAGATGAGATTTGAAGAAACTCCCATATCTGTTTGATCCCAAGTTTAGTTATAAGAAGAAAAAACAAAATATTCATTTGTTTATTTTCGAGAAATTTTGTTTTTACCGGAGTCTTTGGTTTCTCATGAAGTTAGGTCCTTGTTTGAGGAACTCAGTTGTTTCGCCAAAGATTGGCCACCCCATGGTTCCAGGAGGGAGATTATTCTTGGTGTATCGCATTTGGTTCCATCGGAGAAGAGCAGAACAGAGCGTGACGAGGGTAAAGAGAAGACCTATCATCACCATCACTATTCCCATCTCTGATCTCACTCTGTTTTCTTTTTCTTTCTCTGTTCTGTGCTCTGTTTTTGAAACAGATCACTCTGTTTTCTTCTCTCTTTCACTGTTCTGCGCTATGTTTGAGAGAGAGAGAGAGAGAGAGAGAGAGAGTTATGTGTTGGGACTAGAAACATGTGTTTGCAAGTGTTTATATAGAAAGCTAAGTCAAGTGCAGCATGCTCAGAGTCAGAGTCTTAGAGAGATAGAGAGAGAAGAAACTAATGATGGACCAAAGAAAAATAAATTAAAGATATGTAGAATTTCACTAGTTTTGTGTATACCTATTTCTGATTCTAACAGTTATGATAGTGTTTTTTTTTTGTAAACATGACATATTATTTGTCACTTCAATTTTCTCCTAGCATGTAAATATGCATGATGATGATGACCCAAATTATAATTTTTAATAATGTCGATATATAAATTATTATAGTAGGTTGCTAAATTAGCAATACAACAAATCTATAGGAAAAATTTTAAGAAAAATTTATAAACGAAGTATTTATTGACAAAAAAAACAAATTATTGCATTTTTGGAATATGTTATAGTTTATAACTGCGGGGCAGCACGCCCGAATAACTCAAGAAAGAAAGGAAAACAACCCATCCATTTCATGAATATGGAATTAATTGGGTGTTTTTTTCCGTTCATGAATAATAATATTCAAGACTAAGAATATTCACTAAAACAACATAAATACTCGCTTATTAACTTTAGTAAAAATTTATTACAATTTAAACGTCAAAAGTTCATTGGAAAACACCAGACAAGCGCTTCCATGGCTACAAACGTTTCTTCCATGATAGATATTTATTTATTTCCCAGCAGTTCCTCCTAATGGTGTTGAGGAGTAATTATATTATACGGATGACCAAATTTTTCACGAACAGAAAATATAATTGAGTGAAAATGATGATAGCGATTGAGTTGGTTATCAATTTTCTCACGAAGATAACTAAAAAAAAACTAATGATGTTTCAAAGTTTTTATTAGCATTACAATTCCATAAAAGTGTTGATCAAGTGACGTGTGGTCCAACCAATTTGATCGACTTTTATCCCTCAAAAGAAAAATAATTAGTCATTTTTCTTTAAATTTTATAAATAACCCTGAAAATATGGTAAATAACTAACAATGCAATGTTTATTTCAATACTGAAAAGGCTGAAGTAGAAAGAGTAGATTTTAAAGTTCAAACCACCAACTTATTCCTCAAGATCTTACACATGAACTATTCGGTAGTTGGATGAAGAAGATTCGTCTTTTCAGTTAATATTAAAGTTTGTGCTTTATAAGTGAATCTTTATTGGAATGATCGATGGGTTTAGTTAGAATTTAATGTTTTTTTAATAACAACATAATTCGGTAAAAAAAAATATTCTAATTATATACTTCATCCATTTCATAAATAATGTCATTTTAAAATTTGTTTTTATTTTATAAAAAAATATTTTATAAACAAATATTTTATATTTTTGATGTAATTTTGTTAATAAAAATCTAATTTTGATATTGCTATTTAGTAACCAAAAAAACACATTGTTATTTTAGTATATTTATAAGAGTGTAAAAACTCAAGTTCGACTTATAAGAGAATTATGGTTTGTGAGTTTATAGATAGATTTTTTTATTAAGAATAGCCGGAGCTCGAAAATATAGAGAAGTTTTAGGTCATCGGATTTAAGACAGCCGACCTAAAATTTGAATGAAAGAAAGCTCGAGAACTAAGAACAATATGTTGCTAGATTGCCCTAGGTCTCGAGAGAGGATTTTCGGATCATCTTGTGAAGTCCAGGACTTCCCATATTTATAGCCGATCAGGTCGGTCCCCCCCCCCCCCCCCCCCCCCCCCCATTGAAGCAAAAGCAATAAATGATAAGCTAAGCATGATTAACGAAAGATTAAAGAAATACTTGCTTGATATTAAAAGATTCAAAAGTTCAAAAACTGAAAAAGCTTAAGGTATTGCAACAATGGCGAATCGCCTAACTTAGAGAGAAAAACAGAAAAGACCGAATTCAAGATAGTGAAAGTGAATGGCTGCTTTTGCCAAAAATGGCTAAACCGTTAGCTGGTCCCCCCCCCCCCCCCCCCGTCGGGCAAGTGAGGACGCGTTATTTGGCGAATTTCAAGAAGTGTTGCTCGATATGGATTCAGGTCGGCTGCCAAAAGAGTTAGAATATAAAATGAAATTTTACCTTCAATTCTAGATCGGCACGATGACGAGGGTCAGACAGTGAGTCTGGGCGCGAAAAGTTCCCGCCAAAAGATAAAGTAGACTAGGTTTAGGTCTGCGCATGCAGAACTAGACTTGACACGTGTCAACCATGAGAGGAGGAAAGCGAAGAGGCCGATTTAAATATAATGAGAAGAAATGCGAAAGGTCGCCGATCTAATGATGGCTTTCGATAACCGTTCTCATTTTAGTATAAATAAGAGGGATTCGGCCCTTATTTCTTCACTTCTGCATTTTTAGCGAAATTCTGTTAAAATCAGGTTTGCTCACTTCTCTCTCTTCTTTGCTTTTCATTTACTCTAGTTAAGACTTTCCGGTTAGACCTCCGCCATATTTCGTTCCAAGCGCCGCCTTTGATTTCTCTGATTCGGTTGAAGCTCCGCCGCATTAATCAGATATGAGCAAGAGTGTGAAGATCAGCGAAAGCCGACCAGAGTCAAAGGCAATCAGATCGTCCCAATTAAGAGCCAATGAGATCGGGGTATCCTTGGAAGTGTTCCTCGATATGTCCAGGGACGATCAGATCACGAGGGGTCGATCAAAGGGAAAGCAGATCATTGCTGAGGAATCAGGGTCTGATCGGTCTTCCGATGCGAGCGAGTTATCTGCGCTAGATCGAGCCTTCCATGAGCAGGTTCGAGAGAAAAATCAGCAAGCATCCACCGATAGATTTTACGCCGACCAGGTCGGAGCCGTTCTTCGGGGTGGAGAGACGTCTGCTCAAGTGGAGTTCGAAATTCCTGAGCTGCGAGATGAGTCCGACCAGAGAGGAGGATCAAACGAGATGGATCTCTCGGATGAATTGAATGCGGTTATCATCGAAGATGAAGTCAATCAATTTGGGATAATCGACATGAATCCTCCGGTCAAAAAGGCGAAAAAGCGAATAGGGGAGAAGGTACCGAAGCCGATCTGCGATAACGCCCTTGGAGTGAGGCCGACGAAGTCGACTCTGGAGTCATTGGTGACGCTGAAGGAAGAATGTGATATCAGGCCCGAAGTCATTTTCATGGTTCCGAGCCCGTCTGAACGGACGTGGCATGCGCCGGCAGGGTGGTTCTGCATTTACGAGTGCTTTCTCAGAGACTTCCACCTATGGTTCCCGATCCCAAGGCTCCTGCTGGAATTTACCGATCACAAGGAGATTCCGATCTCCCAATTCTCCCATTCCACTATCCGGCTGATAGTTAGCATGCTGGTGATGTCAGTGAAGCATGGAATCCCGTTGAGCCGAGCTGCGTTTGACGCAATGACTTTCACCAGGAGGACAAAGGAGAAATTACGGAATAGGGGCTCATACTACACTAGTATGAAGAAGAAATTCAATATCGTCACTGGTGGTCAGAAGACAAAGATTGAAGATTGGAGAGATCGGTACTTCTTCGTATTAATAAACGAGTTTTCCATCTTCGACCGTGATTTGCCGATACGAACGAAATGGACGGAGGTCATGGGTAGAGAACTACCCAACCTGAAATCTCATAAATGCAAATAGTTTGATTTATCGTTTGATTGCTGACTAGTTCTTTGTCTCTGCAGGAAACAGGACTCTTCCTATTGTCGACAATCCTGTGGATATCTACGACATTGCCGAGCGATTCTCAACCATCAGCGCGATCACGTGGCCGGAGATCACGGAAGAAAAACTCGCAAGAACAAAATGTTAGTCTTGTTCATCGAGTCGTGGTTATAATTTTAGGAGATCTGGCCATCTAAGCTCGTTGAATGTTATTTCAGCTGCTCTGCTGCGTTGTCAAAACCGTCCTGAGAAGATGAAATCACGCGCGCTTAAAGACCTGTCTGCCGACCTTGAGTCTTTGTTTGGATCCCTGGATGCCCAGGGGCAGTCAAAAACGACACCGGTTGCGCCTTCTGATGGGCGCGAGGTCTCCATGGCTTCGGAAAGTGGCTCCGAAGAGGACTTGGCGAAGGCCAAAAAGGCAGCCGATAAGAGGGCTAAGAGGGCGGCTGAGAAGAAATCCGCTAAAGAAACAGAAAAGCTCGGAAGAAGGCCGAGCTAGATGAACGCAACAGAGAAAATTCGCAAAATGAGGATACCTTGCGAAATGTAGGCAATCCGGGAGGCGATGCTGCCAAGAGGGGATCAGAGGAATTGCCGAAAGAATCGCGAGGATCAAAAAATCCTGCACCGAGAAATCGCTCCATCCATTCGGGTTCTCCTATGAGTACCGCGGGGATGGTCCAGTGGTAAACGACGCGATGTCTTGCCTCGATTACTTACTTTGTCTGAGGGATCATCCAGCCTTATCCTCGACTGATCCACGCGGTTTCATTCGCAGCGAAGCGATTGGTCGATTCGCCGCTGACCAAGCGAGGGTAGGTGTCTTAAGGTTCCCCTTTTGTCCTTGTCTTTTCTTTGTTCGAACTTATCTTAAATCGTAAGACTTTGTTTTTCTGCAGGCTCTTAGCACGGCACTCAACGTGATGTGCGAATATGACTGCGATGCTAAGAAATGCTCGGCCGACCAGGCTGAGAGGGAAGCTGTGAAAGAAGCCCTTGAAGCCGAAAGGCAGAAGAATGCCTAGCTGGATGCTGCTCTCTGTATGTCTGCCCGAGACCTTGCGCAGGTTCGTGCTGATAACACAGAGAAAAACAAGCTGCTAAACAAGGCAGTGAAGCAGATCAAGAAGGAAAGGGCAGACTCTCAGAAAAAACTCGAAGCCGAGCTGAAAGCGGCCCAAGATGACAAGTTCGCATTTGGTCAAGATGCCGCCAAGCGTGTGGCCGCCGTGGTGAACAACCACTATGCCGATTTGGTGACGAAAATAAGGGAGTCTCTGTCCCGCAAAGACAAGGCCGATGAGCTACTCTCGACCGCGGCCCAATGGATCGGTGCAAGGAAGGCCCTCGGCATCATCCGTAAGCAAGAGTACAAATTC